GCCCGGCCGCCTATGGAGCCTGGGCGGTTGTGATGGCCCCGGAGCCTCCACGTCTTGGGTCTCGGCTGCCTCTTGGAGAAGATGCAAGGACCTGTCTGGGTTTGGGTGCCCTGGTCCGTGGGAGCCAGGAGGCCACGGGCAGTGGTTGAGGTGTGTGGGGCAGGGACCGAGCCGTGGGGCTGGCCCCACTCTCCCTGGTTGGGCAGTGGGGCCAATGGGGAGCGGTTTGCTGCACGGCTCGGAGCCGAGCTGCAGGGAGCAGCCGTGCAGGGAGTTACATAAACTCCCCATCTGGCTGCGGAGCCGAGGCGGGGAAGGACGCGGTGGCCCTGTGCCCACTGCTATTCCCGTCTCTCTCTGCCAGCGGGGGCTGCTGGCAGAGCCCTGTTATCGAGGAGAATGTGTGGGAGATACTGGGTGCGGGGAGTTGTCTGCTGGGCTGTAAGTGGGGCAAGGCCAGGGCACCCACCTCCTGCCCTGCTGGATGGCAGCAGGACTGGTCCCTTGTCCCCCTGGTCCCTGGCTCTGCTGTGTCCCGGGAGCAGGGTCCCGGGCAGGGCAGGCTCCTCGGGAGGGAGGGAGGCTGCTGCTTGCTCTGTCAGTTTAATGATTTCTAATGAGCAATTACCTCCAGTCAGGCTCCTAATTTCTGAATATCAATAAAGTTAATTAAACACTGCATGTGCATTTCCCAGAGCGTGGCAGGTAGGGATGCCCTGGGAGGGGCTGGGCTCTTCCCTAGGCTGGGAGCCGTGGGGCAGTGTGTGCCCTGTCCCCTGCCACGCTGTGGGTCCTGGCCTGCACGTGCAACCCCTTCACGCCCAGCCATCAGTGACCCCCATGCAGGGCTGCGGAGCTCGATGTCGTGATGTCTTTGAGCTGGCATTGGGGATAGGCACATGCTGCCCTTCTGCTGGCAGATGGAGGGGATGTGACCTGGATTTGGGGAATGTGGGGGTATCAGATCCCTCACTGAGGACAGGGACACTGGCGGTTCCTCGTTTTTGCAGTGGCGATGCAAGGCCTGATCCTGCCCCCTCCCTGGGCTCCTGCCTGTGCAGTGACCTGCAGGGCCAGCACAGACTGCGGTGGTTCTGGCTACCCCTGGTGACACATTAGGAGGACGTGGTGTCACCCTGGGCTGTGCGTGGAGCCGTCGTGCCCCTTGCACGCAGTGACAGGGCTGGCTAAGGAAGCGAGAATCTGCTTCAGTAATTGAGCGTGCGTCGGTGCCCCGCGTGCCTCGGAGGAGTCCGTCGTCGAGACGCTGCCAGGCCGGGATTATCTGGATAATGCTCCTAAGCTGGAGCGCGGGCGGCCGGGGGTGCCTTGCGGGGAGGGCAGGACGGCCGAGCTCGACGGGGAATATCCAGTGTGGGATGGGGCTGCGGATTACCAGCAGGGAGGGAGGATTGGGCACTAAACTGCAGGTCTTGGGGCTTCATGAGGGCAGCGTTGGAGCAGCGGGATGGTGCGGAGAGCTGGGCAATGTGTGCACCATGAAGGGTGCAGCAATCCAGTGCTGGTGTCCTCACGGGGGACAGACCCGTGCACTGCTGGGGATCCCCACGGGCACAGGGCTCGCTGGGGGGCCTAGGGAACCAGGCCTGTGGAAGCACAGCCGGCAGAGCGGGATGAAGCTGCAACTCCAGCGGATCTGGCGGGAGAGGATAATTTAGCCTCCAATCAATTCTTTAAATGCGCACAATTGAAAGATTGCCTCTGAAAGCTGCCTGGGAGCGGGGAGGTAATGGATGCTCTCCAGCACCAGCAGCCGCGCGGGAGCTCCCAGGTGGCAGCTTTGCAGCAGCCCCTTCTTTGTCCCGGAGGGCAGCATTTCACCTCCTGTCCCCAGTGCCACCGCGCTGCTGGGGCTGATGCTGTGAGGAGCACCCTCGTCCCCTCTGGAGGTGCCCAGGCTGAGGCCTGGCAGCACTCATCACACTGGGCGGGCAGGGTGGCCGCGGTCCCTGCTGACCTGCATCAGGGGATGTTTCCCATCGCCCGCCTGCAGGAGAGGCAGTCGGCGCGCTCGCCGTGCCCCTGGCTGCTATTCCATATATAATTTAAATGCAGTAATGAGCTGTGCTGGCGGGATCAAATATTAATCAGCCATGAGAGCGCTGCCGTGACCCCGGGAAAAGGGAGAGAGGTGCTTGAAATGCTGGATTAGCCGGCACTGGGCCATACTTCAGAGCCGTTCCAGGCGAGGGGCTCCTGCTTCGGCTGTCCCTGTCCTTGTGGTCCCCATGGCGGGGGGTGGCTTGCAGACCCAGGCAGCTGGCTGCCCGTGCCAGGTTTGGGGGCAGTTTTGCATTGCATCGCGTTGTCCCCAGCTTCTTGCAAACCTCTCTGTCCGCGGGGATGGCGATGGCTCCCTTGACACCGGAGCCAGGCCGGGACGCGGCATGGGAATCTCTGCCGGGGCCCGGCTGCGGGGAAGGCGCCATGGTGGAGCAGCCGCACGCAAAGCAGAGCGGGCAGCTCTCATGCACTTAATGCAACTGCCTTTCGATCAGCCCCGCCGGCGGGAGGAGAGCGGGAGGGCAGCGTCGCTGCCCGAATGGGGGGCACGGTGATGCTGCGAGCACAGCAGCCCTGAGGAACTGCCCCGGTGCCCAGCACAACCCAGGGGCACCCGCTGCATCCAGCCCTGCTCCTGGGCAGGCCCTGTGCACCCAGGGGTGCCCCAGCCCCGCAGGCTGCACCCTGCGCAGGAGGTGTTTGCATGGTGGGGCTGGCTCTGCAGCGCCTGCCCTGCTCCGTTCCTCTCCGCCAGCTTTTGTTCCCCAGCACTGTGGGCACCACAGGGCAGCAGGAGGCTAGTGCCGCCCCATGGAGGTGGGAATCTCATGCAGGGGCCCATCCCCGTGGCGTCCGGCCAGGGGCCGAGTTGTTCCAGGCGCAGGGGGAAATGCCACCACAAGGCTGGTCGGCTCCATGGGGGTGCACGGGGTTTGGCTCTCGAGATTGAAATAGCCACCGCTGTGCAATTCATCACCCTGCTGCTCCTGGAAATCACTGTGCAAATGCATTAGCTCCGCAGGGAGAGCCGGGGAAGTGGCATTACACGGGCAGTGGGCACCGTGCCAGGGCTCCCCGGTGGCCCCCACCCAAGGGCGAATGGCCTGGGTGCCCCATGGCCACCTCTGCCCCCCTGTATCGTGCTGGGTTGGGGGTAGCCACCAAACCTGGGCCCTGGCAGCCGGGGGGGCTCTGCTGCGTCTCTGCAGCGCCCGTCCCCCTCCCGGGCACGTTTGGGATGCGATGCCGGCTCCCTGCTCCTCCTTGGCGCCTGGGGGAACCTATTGCGGCGACATGTGACATGTGTCAGCGGGTAAATGACTGTTCAATTCAAGGAGAATCTCAAAACATACAAGGTCAAACGCTTCCCCGCAAACGCTGCCATGAATATTAACGCGGGCATCCCGCGCGCTGCGCTCGCCGCCGCGCGCTCCCGGCCACCCCGCGCCAAAGGGACACGCGGCCGGCACGGGCACCGACGGTGCTGCGGGGCCTGCGGCCGGGTGGGGGCCTTGGTG